AGAGAGAGAGAGAGAAGTCGTGGTTCGTTAAAAACTTCGCCCATGGTCGAACTCAAATTGAGCCTCCCTTGAGTCGTTCGTTCATTCGTTCGGAGAATGGGACGTTTATTCACTGGCTTAGGATTAGGTGATATCTAGTGGATATCGCTTTTCTCTCGGCGCAGAAACGCCGAGTCTGCGAGAGAAAACCACAGGCGGGATAGAACATCGGCTGAGAACTTTACACCGAACACGCCGAGTACACACCGAGTCGCTTTCGATACGGTAAAGTGAGATTAATGCTGTATCCCAGGTTTACAAGAAGATTAAGAAGGAGAGAGAAAAGAATACTACAGCGTTTCTACAAGGCTACAAAAAAAGTACGATAATTACAAATCAGTTTTCTCTTGTTGCATCGCAATATTGCCGTTCTCAAGTCACAATACAGTTTCTTATTTTTGATTTATAATGCCGAAAGTTCAAGAACAACGATTATTCATTTAAAGCAGGAAATAGTATTGATAATTACGTGATCTGTGGAATTGGAAAAAAATTATTTAAATCTCTTTTTAATTTATTATTAAACACACATATCAATCGATGCTTTTTAATTTAAAATCAATTATTAATTATCGGTCTTGCTTAATTGCACACCGATTTGCTTGCCGAGATTAGCAAAGGAGATCCCGAGGATCAACCGAGGTGACGGAAAATTCGACGTGTACGTCGGAAACTACTCCGCCTACCTTCTCATTACGACAGATCCTACGGAACGGCTACGTGAAATGGGACGTGGTGCGATGCGAAACGTTTATCCGTCCCTTCGGTATCTTGAAATCGACTCTCCTACCTAGTCCGTGTGGCCTAATTCGGGGCACGGACGCGCAACGATCGTGGATACTAAAGTTTCTTGTTGCCTTCGGATTTCATATTCGACAATATCGTTCCGCGCGAACTTTCCCATTTGGCCTTCACTGAGACGAGCGAACAATTCTCGGGATCTATTATATAAGAAAATCCTTCCTTCGTTTTTCTTGCTCCTCCTCTGTTCTCTACCGTAGATCGCAGATAAGCTCAGTTTTCTTTATACCGACCGATCGTTCTCAGTTGAGATGGTGCGCGATACAGACTTCTCGTAATCATTTTAATTAAACTATCGCATAAGATGAAGGATCTCCGTACTTTCTTTCATCTACAAATTCTTTAGTTAGTGTGTCTAACGTTTTTCTTAATAAAAAGTCTTTCTTCTGAAATTTACAAACTTGCAAAAATTGAAAGATTTTTATCAATTTAGAAAAACTTTACTATATGTTTAGTAGTAGAGAGAGAGAGAGAGAGAGAGAGAGAGAGAGAGAGAGAGAGAGCTCTTTTAGCTTTAATATTAATTAACAAATAATTAGATTTTAATGAACACAGTCCAATGCTTGTAATGTCCATTTAAAAATTTCTAATTTCGTTTATTATTTACCGATGTAAGCTTATCGATGTAAGAAAGAGACTTTTTTTGCCCAAAATAAAAATGCGGATAATTATAAAATAATGAATAATGACAGATCTACTTACTATATATCCGCAGTGGCGCGCGTTTCCGGCTAATCGCACGAAAGTTGGCGGTTAAATTTTAGAATGCATCCATTAAATATTCATTTGCAGGAGCCGAGACAATGGTGCCCCTTTCAAGTCCGCGAAATCTTTTAGGGGTACATCCCCGTGATATATCGACCGTACACCGCGCTGCATCCTCCGGGAGCCCGGGAGTTTTATCCGCGGCCGTTGAAAGAGTGTGTGCATACCGCAGTGCGCCTCGAAATTAAAAATTCAGAAGACTCACGTCCGCCTCGGTGGCCGCACGTGGTCGTTCATGGAGGAGGAACGTGTCGCGCGCCACACCACACCACCTATACGTACGTTGGCACATATCGGCAATTCTAAAGCCACAACTTATATCGGCGTAACTTATTTTGACCCAGCTGGGGCCCGGTCCGAGGCCTTCGGCTAATAAAATATGCCGCTCGCATCAGCAACGTATTATTTATTCACCGGTTCGCCGGATATTCATTAATGTCAGCCACGGTGTATCGGCCTCTTTTGCATGAGATTCCCCATTGGAAGAAAACAAAGTATTCTTGATAGAATAATTAAGTATTCATCAGGACGCCGCTCACGCTTTCTACGAGCGGCGAGAGAAGAATACAGTTCCAATTGCATCGCGGAATAGGTTTGATCAGAGCACGTATCGCCGCGTGTACTCTGTTCCGCGAAATTACGAAATTACGTATGCTAAAGATGCCAGGAATCGCTCGAAGAGATCTCGTTGTATCGAATCATTAAATCACGATCATACATGATTTATTCAAAAAATCTTTTCTCATGCATTTCGCAAATGCCTCGCGCATCGATGATGAATTTTTATATTTTTCTACCTTCTTTCGTAATCCATTTGCAAAATTTTCGGAATAATGCATTTTTAATTCATAGGGATAGGTACGAAGGGTAGCGACACGTGTAACTAAAGGATGATGAGAAGGGGAGCGCACGTGTCGGGAATGTCAGGGCGCGGAGTCCATTTTCCTTCACGATCGAACACTCGAACGTCTTGCAACGAGTAAGTGCTTTTAACTATGTAAAACTATCCTTTCGTAGCGCGTGAAAGACGCTGGCTAACCGATTCCTACCCCCATCCCCCATGCCGTTTTAAAATCTTTCCCTCGTCCGTGCCTCCTCCAAACATTCGCAAATCTTCTGCTGCGGTTAAAGCAAGATCGAGCGATGAATTTTTCGTAAGGTTGAAGATATACGCTGCTTTTCTTGCAGATTTTTGAAACACGAAAGAAACCCGATACGTGCCAAAACCATTTCCTTAGTTGTATAAGAAATTTCACTGTTAGAATGAAACTTTAACGATGTATTTCCTCACGAGAGTCGTAGCGAGCGTATGAACATTTTTTATGTAAATATTTAATACCGTAAGCTTAAATAAAACTACAATATTTTTATGGGATGCTTTAGGGGATGTAATATTTTTATTGGGATGCTTTCTCTTGAAAAAATAAAATTTACAATGAGATAACACACGTCTCAAGAAGTATATATATATATATATGTGTAAGCTTTTATTTACCGAGAATAAATCGAGGAATCTTTCCATAAGGACTGGAAACCAAAGGACCGCGACACAAGAAAAACAAAGGGATAAGTACGGTAAAATGGCTCGCCAGCGGATTTTGCCGAGGATAACCTGACGAGTAGTAAATGGCGGTGTTCTTTGTCAAAGTGTACATGGCGAGTATTACAGCAGGTGTTTTCGTCTTTCCCGCCTCGTTGATAGCCGGTTGGATATATTGCGCTCTACCCAGTCCTTAGGGTCTCGTAAGGATAATTTATAGGGTCAACCCAGGACCAATGGAGACAGAGAGATGGAGGGCCTTGCGTGACGCGGAAATTGCTGCTCGAGTTACGAGTACAATAAAAGTGCATTTAATCGGTGACACGATAGATTTTATCGGCGTCTAACATCGACAATTTTGCGTTAACATTTTTTACTTTCCCGTACTTTCTCGTTTTTTGCAAACTTCGCAAGAAAAAATTATTATCGCGGAATTTGCAGGACGAAATGCGTCGGAGATGTTGAATGAATTGGGGAGAAACGACACACAAATTCGACACCATTTTGAATTTTCTCGCGCACGATAAATTTATATGACCCTGTAAAATTGGTCGTTCATATGCACGAAGATCGTATGAGGGAATCTTTGGCAATTTACGAGAATTCTTACCTGGCACGCTGGAGTATGTCGTACGTATTCAACGAGTCTACGTCGATTGGCTCATCTTCGAGTTCCCTCTTTGGAATTAAATTGGCCGATTTGATGATCAAGAAACTTTGAAGATAGCTAAGAAGATATATCGGCAAGGCTGCACCATCCTCAGGCACCATCGCTAATCTTCTCGCTACGCTCTCTACCTAGCAACATATAACGAGCGAATTATTTTCAAAAATTAATATTATTATTTACATAAAAGATCCCCGTGAGCGAATATCGTAACAAAATTTGTTATAAAGAGAACAATTTCAAACAAAATTAATGTTGCCATGTTAATACAGCTGTGATATGATAAAATAATTGAACCTAACATACACTAAGTAATAAAAACTTAATCTAGTATAACAAATTCAGCGCAAAATATAATTTGTCACGTCATAGAGATTGTAATGTAAAAAATTTTAACATTTATTCGCTTGTTGATTCAAGGCGCGTATTAACGAGACCAGCAATCTCAAAGATCGTCTTGTGAAAACGTGGGAGCGGTCTGATTCTAAAGAAAATGTGGAGAGGAGAGGTAGAGTAATTACCTTTAGGAATCTCTCGCGGAGGATATCCTCCGGGAACACGCCCCTCTTGGCCGCCTCCTCGGGAATGCTCTTGATAGCGGCACGCACCAGAGGATTCTCCTTCGCTGGAAATGAAGAAAATGGAAGACTGAGTCGACGCGAACATATGTTACGGCCGCCTATTTAATTAATTAATTGAAGTAGCGATTGACATCGATCGATTTTTAGCTTGTACGTTCGGTCGACATTTCGCGAAGTCCGGCGAGCAGAATCTTGATCAGCGCACGTTTGTTATTCGCGGCCGTCAAATTTCCGGTATAGCCCAATTTGTTTTGCGGCCACCGCGTTACCCGCCAACCCGTTCTGGCTACATTTTTCCCTCATTGAACATGTTGCTTACACTGTGCCTGCTACATATTTGTTGTAGATACACATTTCGGGTTGCGGTTCGCAGTCAGCTATCGTGAATAACGTGCATATAATAATAAGTTTATTGTATGGTGAGAAACCGTTTTATACATCGCGTAATTGCACATTTATACCCATAATCGGTTGTTTCGCTAATTGATTACAAACAGCCTTGGAATAACGTTATTTTTATTCGATAAAATATTTAATAACGGGGGGGGGGGGGAGACAATTTGCGCGAAAAGATACGGCCGAAATTCTGTCTATCGCGGATTAAACCTCGCGCCGCCGTTATGCAAACTTCACCCGCAAATTTCCACGAAAATTGAAATTACGAAGGTGACTTCGCGGTGGAGGAATAAAATGGCGAAAGCGCTCGGCAAAAAATTTATAGACACTTGGCGCAATTAAGGGCAAACGTTCGCGGTAGGAGCATAATTAATGAACACGCGCGCGGCGCTCCATCAGGCCGGACTCTTTTGAAATGCCCAACCTTTATGAAGGTTCGGGCTCGCTTCCGATTAAGCTGTAAATCTTCGACGGGGGGGTGTAAATCTTCGACGGGGACCTCTTCTCGCCCCTGCTCTTATCCGCGTGGTCCACATACACGCACTCGATTTGAGGGAGAGACCCCGTCGTCGTTTCTATTGTTCTAGCCTTTCATACTCCGGCTCGGGACGGAAGGCGGTTCCCAGAACGAGCGCGAATTGCTGGGACGCGACGGCGGACGAGCGAGTGATTAAAAGCGCGTGCGGAATTTATTGCCGAATGGAAGAAAAGCTGCTATAAGAAGCTCTAAAAGCTGGAATAATACCCTTTCCTTCTGTTCAACGTCAAATTAAGTTTGTATTTCGATTGAAAGCGAAACGTCGGAAATTAAAATTGTCAAAAATTGTCATATTTAGTAGCGCTCATATTTTAATTGACAATTGTATTGTCAATTATAAGTATTGAAAAATTGTGAGCAGCAAGATATAAAGATCGCGAGAGATTACATTTATAGAAAAAAATATCGAATACAAAGAAGAGATACCAGATGAAATATGTGAATCTCGGCTTTTATACGCTCGAATACTATTGTGGTGTAGTAAAGTGCTGTTGAAAGTGTGTTCCAACAACGTTGAAGTGCTATGTCATGCCAAAAAAATTCGAAGAATGAAACAATACCCACATCCCGTATAAAAATAATATTTTTCAAAATCGCAAAAGCGCAAAATAATAATTGAGACATATAAATAAATATTAAGCTGGAATATAGATAAATTGTTGGATTGCTATAAAAAAAAGAGGTTACATAGAGAAAAAAAGAGAGAGAGTGTGAGTTAAGTTTTTATTCATTAATATTAGCCATGCTCTGTAAATATGTACACATATATATGTATTTAATATTTCAAAAATAAAATGAACATGCACATGAGATTCCATACTGTACATTGTCGCTAATTAATTCAGGCCAACAGTAAAGCAAAACAAAAATTCATTTGTTGAAAAAACAAATTACAATGCAAGTACCAATAATTACGGGTGACTGCAGTAAAATAAAATACAGCGATTCTTCAGTTGCAAAACTTCACACTTCGCTCTCTAAGTTTCTCACGCTACTTTAAAAGTTATTTGTCGTATTTTGTATCAAAGACAAACCACAGCCTGCCGTAATACGTAAATTACTTTAGAAGCCCATCGCGCTACTTCTTCGTGTGAAAAGCAAGCTTTATGCGCCCTCAAATGTAGTATGAGTTAGCATATGTAAATATTACGTTCACATACTAAAATATTTCGAACGAATTATCATCCGCGAGAAACAGCAATGCCGCGCATATATTTGCCTAATAAATTTATTTGAAATTTATGCGTTGAAATTTACAAATTAAAACTATACTGTATGGTACTTTCTAATGCCACTTTCTTGATATATCGTCAAACTTAAATCAAGATGTTATACTTACGCGCTGCTTTGGAGATGGCCTTAATTTCGGGTTCCAGCGGTTTGATTGCTTTATCTTTTGGTGTACCCGGCGGCACGACTTTCACAGCTCTAGCCAAGGCTTGACAAGCTGCCCAAAGGATTTGTACATTCGATGCGCTCTTTTCCTCCTCCGTGTGAGCTGTAAAACAAAAATATTTCGTCTCAATTAATTCAGTATCTTAAATATTTCGGGAGAAACTTACGCCACGTTTTCGACTCTTGCAAAAAAATTTAAATCGTCCTGTTAATAGTCTGGGAAAAAAGTTTATATTATGCCGATAAAATCTGAAAATTGCACTCATTTCTCTTCACTAAAATAATTTTGCATTTTTATGATCGTAAATTACCGAAAGAGACAACTATCAGGATTTATATCCAAAAAAATTATTATGCGCTACAGATTTAAATATTGCAAAAATATCAGAGAAAAGTGGGATTTTATCATTTATTTAATTTATATGTCGCTCTATTAATGTATGCTATTAAAACATATATTATCAATATATCAATATTAATGATTAAAATGAAAATGTGGCATTTACCGCGAAATTGTTGAAAAAAGAAAAAACTCCCAATCATCATCAGATCGATTCGTAAAATTCGCTTGTCTAATTTAATTTTGCGCTCATGTATTCGTTGAGGTTCCTCGATCATTCGGAAATCCTTGGGGGTATCGCCGTCGTGTTACAGTGACAAACGTTCCGCGCGTTTTTGTACGAAATTTTTCGATGACAGCATTTTTCGCTGTGGGAAAATCCCGATATGTATGTGAATTATGAAAGCATGTCCAGCCGTGTTCTCTCGACGCGTGCTCGCGTCCTGAAAAGCCCCGTGAAACAAACGTTATGCATAATTCCGTTGGTAAACAAAGATGAACACTTGGACGCAAACAAATATATTTCACGGTCATTTATTGAAACATTAAAATGTTGTGATACGCATCGGAGTAAAATTTACCGATTTATTTGTATCTCGCGCCGTATAATAATGCGTTTTACACAGGCACATCCATTCGGCACAAATTCGCGAAAATTACTGGCAAGGCCGGAGAAATAAACAACTATGCGATAAACGGGTTTTATCGTCAATATGGTCAAATTGGAAATGTATTCCAATGCCGTTTACATGTCGCTGTAAATATTTTCATACGAAATATCGAATCGTGTGAGCGTGAAAATATTGTTTCGAAATATACTGCTGATCAACCGAATGATGGTGATATAATAGTTACTTCCGATTTTGTATTTGTTAACTTCACCGCGGCTAATTGAATCATCGTTAAATTATTGTGCCGGCATAATCGCTATTTAATCGGCGGCATGACGAGTGTCCACCTGTCAACCGGCGATTGATGAACTGTAAATCGGCCAGAAAGATGTTCGGCACGGCTGTAAACGCCACCGGGGCGGGCCGAGAGAACGGGGATCCAGCTGAATCTCGATGCTTCCAGCTCTCGTAATTTATTACGCATATCAATCCGGATAGGGTTTACGGAGCGATCTCTTGTCTCGAGAAAATTACTTCGCCCGGTTAGAGATTTTCCGGCTCTCTTCCATTCAGTTTTCCTAAGATCTGGAGCAGCTCCGTTTATGTGCAAACAGCGCGTGATATAAATTAAGTAAGTCGAACCTTAATACGATTTTAACCCCTGGACTGGTAACACAATTTTTATCCTATCACGAACGTTTTATTAAAAAAAAAAAAATTTAATTGTCACCTGAAATCAAAGCGATTATAGTCGAGTTCACGTTTGGCTTTCAGAGAGAAACACGAAAGCAAATTACGGTCTGTAATAAGTGCAATATCATTCTTTATAAACGACAATCACTCTGAAAAGCGCCAACGTTTCGAGGATACATGCGCGCGCGTGATTAATCTCTCGCGATAGAGGGGTTCCCACCCTTCCAATAATTTTATTGTCGCGACGCGAATTAGGGGGCGCACTTTTGTCATCTAAATATTCATTATCGTGCTTTTTCATAAAATATCCATAATAAAATTCGTTTCGAGAGAACGTTTCGAGAGAAAAAGAGAAGCTCCTAGCAAAGGCTTAGTCAGCAAGCTGCTGGTTATCTCCCGTTTTAAATTACTCGGGCTCGAATAACCGAACCGGCGTTTCCGTGGCCGCGGCAATATCATTTCTCGCGGTGGCAATAAAATTGCCGCGCTTTTTTAAGCTAATCCTTCGCGGGTCGCAGTTTTTATCGCGGGATGCTTTGGGAGGAACCGGCGGGGGTGAGGCGGGGTGGATTGTATTATTATCAATTTCGCCGTATAAGCAAGCAACCTCGCAAATTCGCAACCGCAAGCCAGTTCTGGTCCGCATCCGCGGCGAATTACCAAATCCATCGTGCTACTTCGGCTTTATTGCCCGCCCGGCTCTGTTGCTTTATTGACGGTGCATTACACACAGAGACCGCGGCCGTCTGTCGCTGTTTCCTTTTACGAGTGCGGGTTGAGCGCGATAGGTAATTCTCGCGAAAAATCGTATAGAATCGAATAGAAATCGTATCGACTACGCTATTCGACCACGGCGAAATCCCGTCCGTGAAGCGATATGCCCCTGGAAACTAATTATTCGGTAACATCCGGGCAGTTATTAAATTCGTGGTTTTATATCCAGTTCCGGTTTGCCAGTCATCGTTCCGGTTTTATTGGCAATACCGTTGGACACGCTATAATGCAACATTGATTCATCGATCCTACTTTTATACGCTCGCCTGTCAAAATATGGACAAACATATCCGGAGCAAAAAAAAAAAATAGAAAAAATAATTTAGCTTTAGAATTTGTCCGAATTGCGGAATGTAATCCTTGTAGATAAATATGCGAATACATAATGAAACAACAAGTTGTGTGACTTCAATATTTGATCTCATAATACTTAAATCCTGTTTAACAATGCCCACATAACGCATACATAAATGATTTATTTTCATTAACTTTATCGCTATTAAAAAGCGTTTAGAGGCCATAAATGATAAAGGTGAATTATCCAAAAGACGTAGTATTTTAGAGATTATCGTTTTCTCACAAAATGTTGCTTATATCTTCCGCGCGTAAACGACTGATCATAATATCTACTTTCTCGTTTTTCTCGCAGCATCGGATTTCAAGTCGCATTGGCGGAATGCATCGATTTCAACGACTACTTTAAGACAAAATCGTAAAGCCAAAATGACAGACCGATTGCTCGACACGCGACATATATCCGGAATCCTTCGCT